CAGATTGCCCGTATCACTGCGAGATAAAACGCCCGCAGCAGCTACTGCCCCAGTTACTTGGTGCTGGCTGTGCCGCCGCAGAGATAAGGGAGAGCTTGAAGGTCTCTTTATCCAGAGGGTCCTGGCACCCACCAAGGATGGGGACTGGTGAAGGAGCCCTCCCTAACCAGCCTCCGCTTGATTCCTCGCAGTTGCCACCCAGATCAACGCAGCCTTCGTCCTCCTTTCCCTGGGGACGATGTCGACCATCTCCTTCCTGGGCAGAGGTGCTGCCGTGGTGCAGGACCCGGTGACGTTCAGAGGGAGGTCCCTGCTCTCTGCTGACGGGGATGAGCTTGGGTTGAAGGTGAGCCTGTTCCTAAAGCTGGGTGACGGGGGGAGAGAGGAGAGAAACGATCCGGTGGGGTGGGCACGTCACGCCGGGCCGCTGCAATCCCGCTTGGTACTCGGTGGGGTGAGGGATTTGGTCCCGCGGTCGCCTCACGCGGAGCTGTGGTAAGCGCGTCTCTGACCACCCTGGGGGCTGCTTGCGGCCCCCCCTGCCTTGCAGCCTTTCACCAGGAACGAGATCATTGGCTTCACCGTCGGCTCGGTCTCCTCCGTGCTGTACCTCTGTTCCCGAGTGCCCCAGATCTACACGAACGTGAGTGCCGCACCGTGAGTGGGGCAGGGCCGCAGCCCAGTCCTGGGGTCCCCTGGGGAGGCTGGGATTTCCAGCCAAAGAGGAGCGGGGGGATCCGAGATCCCTGTCTCCGATTGTTTCACAGGGACTGTATTTCTGCCCTGAAACCAGATTAATTTTTCTCCCCTTGCTTTAACATACCGATATTTTGAGGGTGAGGCTTTCATTTTGACTTTATGTACAAGCAAAAGGGGAATTAAAAGGCTCTTGACATTGAGTCACCACCTTCTTCCTTCTCTTTTTTTTTGGGAGGGGTTGACTAACGCTGCTTCCTAGTGAGATTTCAAAGAGCTGCACCCCGGCTCCTCTCTCTGTCCCCTCTTCTTCCAGTATGAGAGGAAATCCACCATCGGAGTCTCCTACTCCCTCTTTGCCCTGGTGATGCTGGGGAACCTGCTCTACGGCCTCAGCGTCCTCCTGAAGAACCCCGAGCCGGGACAAGGCGAAGGCGACTACGTCCTGCACCACCTCCCCTGGCTGGTGGGCAGCCTGGGTGTCCTTTCCCTCGACGTGGTCGTATCCTTTTCCCTCCGGCGTCGCATCCTGCCGGCAAGGCTTTGCAGGGCGCGATCCCGCTGCGGGCGGGCAGGGTTAGGCAGGAAGCGGGTGGGTTGATGCTACTCAGGGGTCACCCTGGGGCTATGACTGCTCACCCCCGTGCCGATGAGTCCTTTGTGGTGTGCAACAGCGGGATGCTTCAGGCCCTTAAGCGCCTTGCCCGGTTTCCAGCTCTCCTGGCACAGCCTCTTTTTGGGCGGTGAGACCCAGCGCGTCCTGTAGATCCGCCCTTGATGGCGTCAAGAGCCTTAACCTCGTCTCAGATCTCCTTCCAGTTCCTTGCTTATCGGAAGGGAAGACCCAGTACCTGGGAAGAGAGGGATGCTCTTCTTGGCGAGCAGGGCGACAGCTGACGAAGGGATCTGCCCCCGGGGGGGGGAGAACGGGATGATGCCGGCGAGAAAGCTGGTTCTGATGCCGGGCAAACTGGCCCCTCCATCCTGGTGGTTCCTGGGAGAGGAGGGCCTGAGGGGGTGACGTGTTGTGCTGCTAAGCCCGGCCAGGTGCTGCAGAGAGACCTCGTGCCTCTGAGACCAAAGACACTATCGGGATAAACAGGGAATTACTTGATACCTCCAAAGGTGACTCTGCTGCTGTGAAGCCCCACGGCTGAGCCCGGGCACTTCCGCTTTACCTGCTGTCTCCCAGGGGAAACCTGCAGCTTCGCTGGCTGCGGGGAGGGACGGAGGTGACGGCCCTGCCACGGACACGAGCACCGCTTACCTCCGCGGGCCTCTGTCTCCGCTGCCGAGCTCCTCCTGGAAGACACGGCAGTGGCTGGAACAGTTCAGCGGAGGAAGGGGAAGAGCAGCGTAACCAAAGCGTTTCGGTACACACGTCCCTCGTTCCATTAGCGCCGTTATAAAACAAGTTCTTGACCCCACCTGCCTCCTTTGGTTTTATTTTGTCCATGTGCCAGCTCCTGCCTCTTCCTCAATGTCTCCTAGTCCCGGTTTCTCGGAGTTCTCCTTAGTTTTGTCTCACCCACGTTTTAATTGCAGGGGCTTCCCGGGGAAGCTGCTCATTCGCTCAGCCTGGTTTTCGGTCCTGCTCTTCCTCGTTGATGAGTTTATCCCCAACTCGATGAATTTATCCCCAGCAGCGCTGAACTGGCCCCCTCTCAGGGCCCTGCACGGTGGCTCCTTGATTGCAGGACTGGAAGCAGCACCCAGTTCCATTCCCCTTTTGGCTTTAAAGGTGTTTGATCACATGAAACCGTGTTCGGTTTACGATTCCTCAGCCAGTCCCATGACATTTGTCTTTCCCGAGGAAGCCGCTCTCCTTCGGCTTCGTCCTCGCTCCGTGATGCCACAGCTCAGCCTAGATCCCGCATAAGCAGGAGTCGGGCTACCCGATGCCGGCCACAACGCAACAGCAGGTTTGTTTAACACAAGCTGTGCCTGTAAGTTGGAGCTGATCCATTTGGTTTTGGGAAGGAAACGCTGTTTTTTTGAGCCCCCTGAGCAAAGCTGGTGGGTTTTTCACTCCGTTAATTCCCAGTCCTTTCCTTCCAGGCTCACAGGCGGGGCCGCTCGCCTTTTCCCCATCCTCGAGCCAGCGGTAGTTCCGCTGCTGCTCAGCCCTAAGTGCTGGGGGACCCGCACCCGCCCTAGCGAGCGCTGGATTTACCACGCTGACCTGCAGCAGGGGGATGGGGTGGGATTTGGGACGCTCACCTTGCGGACACAAAGGTCTGTGGCACAACAGAATCACGCCGTACCAGCTCGCCAAGAGCTTTTCTTAAAGCCAGAGAAACCCCCTCTAATATAAGGAGGTAACTAGAAGTATTTACGTGCCAGCAGCCAGCGCGGTGACGGCGGGTGGAAACCCGTGTCACAAAGAGGCTCGCGCCGAGGTTATCATCCCTCCCAGGCGGTGACGCAGCCCTTCCCGGAGGAGCCTGCGGTTTAAGGCAGAGGTGAGTGTTAAACCAGAGGAGGCACGGACCAGAAACACCGTGGTCTTAAGTGCTGCCCTGCGCGCAAGCCGTTAGCGCGTCTCCGCACCCCAGGCCCCCGTGTTATGTTTATCTGAGGGGACGCTTCCGCCTGGGACCTGTGCGTGCGGAGATGGCTTTGGAGAAGGGAAACGAACTCCCAAGCAAACCTGAGCGGGCAACAACTGGAAACGGGCATGAGGAGCCACGAGTCTCCCCCGTCCCGGGCTCACGCTCCTTTCCCAGCTTCGGGAGGTCACACAAACTTCCCTCCAACTTCGCAAAAGGTTTTTCCTTGGCCAGAACCGAGGGGCTGAAGGTGTGTCCCGGGGATCCCGGCTTCGGGGCAGCCTGCCGCCCGCGTGAGCCGCAGCAGGGGCCGGAGCTAGCTGGGGTGAAGGCTCAGCGGGATCGGAATCGCCCGCAGGTACGGAAGAGGTCACATTAGAAAAGCAAGATCAGAGCAGGCTCATCAACGCCAAGAGTCTCCGTTTGCATAGGTTAATTAATTCCAACGGCTGCGTGCAGGCGGAGCCCAGAGCCCAGCAGGGATTTGCTTTTCCCAGTTTCACCGGGATGAAGTTTGTCACAGCCAAAGCACGTGGGAACAGGCAGCAGAGCTGGACCTGCGCACGGTCCCTCTGACCACCGAGGGCTGGAGGAAGGGGAAAGTCTGGGTAAGGTGCACAAATCACAAGGACCAAGGAGCTTCTGCGTGACGGAACCATCCGCCTCCGCTCGCCGAGGGAACCGAAATGCCCCTCCTCTGCCCGCCGGAGCATTTGAACCCACAGGGTTTTCCAGACTAAAAAAGTCACCCCCGGTGGAGCTGGACAAAACCTTTTCCTCCAAATCCAGCCCTTCCGTGTTCGCTGGCTGCCTGCAGCATCAACGCCAGGTGCAGGGGATGCTGGCATCCCACCCTGGAAGCACAGCAGGCTACGCGTGGCCCAGCTGCGGAACGCTCACCCTCTTTAAACAAGTTCCAGCCGCTCTGGAGGCAAGAGAAGGCAGCAGCTCGCTTGTTTTCTGCGGCCGCACCACGCTGCAGCCCTTGGCTTACAGACGCGCTGGGCCTTGGCCGGCCTTGGCCGCCCGCCTCCGGCCAGGGCCGCCTCGAGGAAAGCGCTCACAGCACAAATTCCGAGCATCGCAGCGGGAAGGGGGGAGAAATGAGGAGGACACCAGCCGCACACACTGCATCCTGGGAGGTTTTTTACTTTTATTGTTTTAGTCTTTTTTTATTATTTTTTGGTTTTTTGTTTTTTTTTTTTAGTATGGAGGCTCAAGTATCAGATGTAGATTCAATTTAAGCTTTACAAAAAAAAAAACCAACCCCAAAAAACCAAAATCAAAACAAAAACCCCTTTTTGCATTCCATAAAAATCGACAGAAAAGCGCCTCGGAACCCGGCTACTAGAAGAGCAGAACTTTCAGCAGGTCTCCTAAGCGACGGCTCCCCGCAAATCTGGTTGAGTCAGTACAGTACAACACCGAGGAACAC